TTAATTTGTAAGGAACTTATTTTCTTTACAAGTAATAATATCAATTTGTAATATTAAAAAGTTACAAATTGGTAAGAAAATATTTTACCTTTAATTTGTAATAATAAATTGGTTTTGTGAGACTAATATTTTACCTTTAATTGAATAATAATACTTATTTTCTTTAATTACGACTAATATTGTGAGACTTACCTTTCTTTTTGAGACTTGAAGTTAATTAGGTAAAAAATATGTTAAAGAGAAAAGAAGCGGGGGAACAGTGAGAAGATGATAAATATTTATATACGATCAAACTTCTGATATCACACTCTATGATCAACAATTCAATGTAAAAGATCTCATAAAAGAGTTTAATTAATTTATAAAGTGATATTAAATTTGTTAAAATTTGTATAATTTATACACTACACATAGTGAAGTTGCGACCTTTACACCATAAAATAATGGTTTGTCGGGGTTAAGAGTGAATTATGGAGCTGCTAAGTTTGGTGAAATTTTATGTTGATGTCGAGATTGAAGGTAAGAAACCATCAAACCATTACAGTGCTCGAAGGGATGAAAAACAACTAGCGGTTCAAATGGTTTAACCATACTTTGACACACCTCCTATACCAACACTTGTCATTGCTAGTAACCCCCACCAACAATTCCAAAAACCAGATAAAACTGCTTTTTTGCAATAGCCCACAGAATTAAAATTCCTTATTCACTTATTTTCAGGTATGTCATGTTCGATCTTCCTCCATATATTTATCTTTTCTTGGTTTCATATCATAGTCTATATATCATCCATTACAATCTAGAAGCATTGCCAAGAAGCGGTAAATCCAATCTGTCTTCATCTATTATTTCTAACCAAGTCTATTGTTCATGCATTACAGTTTAAAGGCATTTCATGAAACGATTTGGAATTGAATTTGCGGTTGACGCATTCAGTTTCCGATTTGTGATCCAAAGATAATAAATTTCTAACCAAATATTGTAATTTAAATCTCTGGTTATGAAGGATATGCAAGAGATGCCCACTGTGGCATATCGTCCTATATTACAGAGTAAATGAGTAGTTATTATCTCAAGTTCCTCTAGAAGATGAATAGATCGAAGAGTTGCATGGCGGAATCTTGCAGGGATATCATCCCAAGTCAGTTTCCCATTTGCATATAGAGTCTAAGTCCCAAGAATTGCCGCATGAAACCATGCTATCATCCATTTAGGATTTTCAGTAACTTATCATTTCATTTTTATATTCGAGAGAAACGAAATCCAAGGGGGATAAGATCTGAGAGATTAATGAACCAAAATGACAAAAGAGTATGATAAACCTTCACAGTCCAGAAGATGCAGTTGAAAAAATATATGAAAATCCCATTGATCTTGCTAACTTTTTGACAACAGGTAGGGATAGCTTTATTTTCAATGTAAATTAAGTAGACGGGGTCTACATATCTGTACGACTACAATTCTGTAATTTTATGAAAATTATTGAAGCATCTCTTAATTCATGCCTTTAGTTCCAAATATGGCGCAAGAACAGGAGTTCAGAACAAGCGACTCACTTTCAAAATGTGAGACCTATTTCGAAATCATACAATCTAGAAAGAAGCTACCGCTGTCATTGCAGGAAACCTTGACAGATGCATTTGCAAAGATTCCGGTCTCTTCTTTTCCAGAAGTTCCTAGCGGAAAAGGTAAGGGATACCTTATGCATTTAATGAGTTAAAGATCTGCATGGGAAAAAAGCACTAACATATGAAATGCCTTGGTAGTGATTGAAATTCTAGCAGACACGCCCGTAGGAGAAGCAGTTAAGATTCTATCTGAAAGAAACATTTTAGCAGCACCAGTAAAAGACCCAGACGCAGCTGATAGTTCAGATTGGAGTGTCAAGTACCTTGGCATCATTGATTATTCAGCCATCATTCTCTGGGTGCTGGAGAGCGCAGAACTTGCAGCAGCAGCTATATCAGCAGGTTCAGCAACAGCTGCTGGAGTTGGTGCAGGAACCGTGGGTGCTTTGGGAGCAATAGCATTGGGAATGACAAGTCCTGCTGCAATGGCGGGAATAACTGCTGCTGCAGCTGGTGCTGCACTGGCAAGTGGCATTGCTGCAGAAAATATGATGACTAAAGGTGCACCTCAAGCTGCTGATAACCTGGGAGAAGATTTTTACAAAGTTTTACTGGAAGAAGAACCCTTCAAGTCAACAACGGTAAGCATGAGAATGCCAGAGGTTCTGGAGTTAACTATGGGTTCATGACTTTTATGTTGATGTTAGCTCTGTCTTGGTATGAGCACCTCTTTTCCTTCATTGAGAATGAATCTTTTTAAGGTTATCTCATTAATAGAAAAGGCCAATGCAGAGCAGAGCTAGGCTGGTTAGCTAGTCATTTATACAATTAGATTCTATTGTATTTGTAGGCTGTAACCAATCATAGAAAATAAGATGGCTATGTCCCTACATAACTCATTTGGGATTTTTTTTTCATAACCTAAGCCAAATACAGGTCAGTAAATTCTTCTCTTATCTCCATATTGAAAAGAAAAAACAAACATTTGTGAGTTGATTTATGGTTTCAGGTGAAATCAATACTTAAATCATATCGATGGGCACCTTTTGTTCCAGTTGCAAGAGATAGCGCTATGTTGACTGTCTTGTTGCTTCTCTCAAAGTATAGGCTGAGGAATGTACCTGTCATAGAACCAGATAAACCTGACATGGTGAACTTCATTACTCAGTCTGCAGTTATCCAAGGTCTTGAGAGATGCAAAGGCAGAGATTGGTTTGACTGCATTGCAGAAAAGTGTATATCTGATCTTGGACTTCCATTTATGTCTACAGCTGAGGCAAGGATTGGTGTCTTATATTTTCAGTTTCCCTAGGCTGTAAGGTTTAAAAACATAATTTTTCTTCCTGTCCAGGTTATTAGCATTCAGAGCAATGAGTTGATTCTTGAAGCTTTCAAGCAAATGAGGGATAATAAAATCGGTGGTCTTCCTGTAGTAGAGGGGCCAAGGAAGAAAGTTGTTGGAAACGTGAGCATACGAGACATCAGATACTTGCTGCTAAGTCCTGAGATCACAAATTTTAGGTACAATAAAGTAAAAATTCTCGCATTTTCGGTAAAACAAAAGATAATAAAACAAATTAGAACAAATTAAAAAATAAATAAAATTAATCAAGGGTTATTGCTTAATACACACATGAGTTGACTATGTGTATGAGGTGATATTTTAATTTTTTAAACTTACGAAAACAAACAACACGGGCATCTTAGGTTATCATTACACAGGCTTGCACAAGGGAACTAATGACTTAACTGAAATGTTCTACTCGCTGTTACTCTGTTTTGAATTCTAGGCAACTGACTGTGATGGATTTCCTGAAAAGAATTGTCTCTTCGTCCCTGCAAACTGGGAACGCTAGCCACCAGCCTATAACATGCAAGCCTGACTCGACACTGCATAGTGTGATCCATACTCTTGCTTCTCAGTCTATTCACAGGATTCATGTGGTAGATGGACAGGATGAATTAGTTGGAGTCATTACACTGAGAGATGTTATCTCTTGTTTTGTAACCGAACCTCCTTACCATTTTGATGATTACTATGGATTTGCAGTGAAGGAAATTTTTATTCAGTGATTTTTGTGGAAGTTAAAATACGGTGGAGATACTCTAAATGTTACAAACTCTTATATTATCAGAAAGAACATTTTATTTAAATTTTTTCTATGTAAGTGTTATTTCGATGCAACTTCTGTCATGCTAAGGCCAGAGAGTTTGTCCGATCCCTTATCCGTGATCATCCCTCTTACCCTTTCTACTTCCTTCCATCTTCCTAGCCCGGCATATATATTAGACAAGATCACCAGAGGAGTTGGATTTTCTGGTTCTATATCTAGAAGCCTCATGGCCATTTCTTCCCCAAGACTTGAATCTAGGTAACACCTACAAGCACCGAGCAAAGAAGCTAAAACAGATGCAGGAGGCTCTGCTAATTCCTGCACCAGACCTCGAGCTTCACCCAACTTACCAAACCGACCTAAAAGATCAACAATGCAACCAAAATGCTCAGGCTTTGGCTGCAAGCCATAGTCTTTTATCATCATTCTAAAAACTGTCAACCCTCTATCAACTTGACCTGTGTGGCTGCAAGCAGATAAAACACAAACAAATGTAGCACTGTTTGGTCGAACGCTTTCTTCCAGCATTTTATTAAAGATTTCAAAGGCAGATTCATGGTCTCCATTTCTCCCATACCCCCCTATCATTGCATTCCAAAATGCAGGATCATCTGGTTTTGTATCAAACTGATTAAAAACTTCTCGTGCCCAAGATGCATGCCCACATTTCATATACATGTCAACCAGAGCAGTTGCCAAAAAATCATCCCTATTGATATCAGTTCTTAAAGCAAACCCATGTATTTCTTTTCCATGTCGTAACATAGATGAATCTGCACACGTTGACAAAATGGTAGTAACAATTTTCAAACACGGAGCCACACCAACAGACTGCATTTCCCTAAAGTACTTAAAAGCTTCCCCACACACCCCTTGTTGTGCAAACCCGTTAATCATGGAATTCCAAGTAGCTGAATCAGGCTTCAACTCTTCAGATTCCAGCCGTCTAAACATATCAACAGCTCTCTCACTCTCTTTATTTAACATCATTCCAGCAACCATGGAGTTCCATGTGATCAAGTTCCTACTGTCCCCTTCCGCCCCCGTGAAAACGTCATAAGCAGAATGCCAAAAACCACACTTTGAATACATATCGACAAGTGCAGTCACCACCATAACCCCATCATCCACTTCAAGTTTCACTATAAGCCCATGAACCTGCATCCCTAAGCGAACACTTTGTAGACTACCACATGCAGAAAGAACAGACACCAACGTCACTGAATTGAGTTTGCAGTCCAAACGCACCTCTCTCATCATTTCCCTAAACACATCCAACACCAAATGAAGAACTCCATTCCGCAACAAACCAGTAATAAAAGCATTGTAACTCACTACACTCTTCACAGGCAACTCCTCTAATACCTTAGTCGCAGAAACTAACTCTTCACACTTGGAATACGCAGTGACAAGCGAGGTGGCAACATAGACATCAAATTCAACTCCTAACTTCAACGCGCAGCAATGCACCAGTGCAACATGGTCGACACCTACATGAGGAACACCTAGCATGCACGCAATGGTGACCGAGTTGGGCCTCAAGGGGCCCAACCCAATTCGCTGGAACACCCGGATAGCTTCTCCGCTACGCCCATTTAGCGAGAAACCCGAAAGCGCTGCATTGAGAGAGGCAACGTTTGGTTGGGGCATTTCGTCAAACACCTTGAGTGCGTCAGGAAAATGGCGAGGGGTCGCAGAATAGGCTGCGGTCAGGGCGGAGGTAGCATAAGGGTCGGCATGGAAACCGGTTTTGTGGAGATGGGCGTGGAGGGTTTGGGTGTGGGAAGGTAAACGAAGTTTGGCACATGCTTTGAAGAGAGTGGGGAAGGTGAAGGAATGAAGGGTAGGGGAAGAAGAAGAAGAGTGGAGGTGGGAGAAGAAGGAAAGTGCTTCTTTGTAGAATCCATCTGCAACGAGTTTTCTGAGTGATATGTTATCTCTCCTCATCGAGTGTTAATCTCTTGCTTTGCGTCTTCTACATGTTTGTTTTAATGTCAACCTCTGAGACTACTCAGAGCATCTTGCAACAGAAGTGAGACCTTATGGAGGGAAACTTATCTTTCTTTTATTTTCTGCTATTATATATGGTTTCTTCATTTCTATAACTTCTTTTAAAATTTATTCTGGTAATTTCTTTTGACAATACCCCTTTCATATAAATTTTCCCAATCACTCACAAAAAAATATAACTTTTCCCATTAAAGTAATACAAATTTCTCACATAAAAAAATTGTTAGATTTCTCATCTTTTTAGTTAAGATTAAAAAATGTATTTTTATATTAAATTTTGTTTTTTTTCAATGGGATGTCGTTCGTTATTTCTAGTAAATTATGGAGGAATTTTTTAGATTTCGAACATTCCTATTAATCCATTAAATATTCTAGTAAAAGCATTACCATATGAGATTGGACCAATAGCTTAGCAACTTGTTCATCTTTGGTATCTCTAATACCCATTCTTAAATGTATCTCTTATAATATTATTGTTGTCACGTATTGCTGCATGCACTGCCGAATGCATTTTTGTTCTGCGCCAATGTAATTCACCCAAAAAGTAGATTCCCACGAGATCGATTAGTATCAAAGATATATTCTTATATTCTCTATTGCATGAAACAGGAACGGAAGACAAATCTATAGATTCTTGGATCTGCTTGTATCTTTCATTGCCGCCACATACGAGCTATGATTTTGATGCATTGGGATCTTCAACTTTGCAAAGGGAATCTAACTGCAAGTTTTTTTTTTTTATCTTGGTTATTAAACTTCAACTCAGTGAAATATAGAAAACTGTTTAATGTGATGATTGAAACATTTACATAACTTGAATTCGAACATAAATGTTTATTAGAAACATGATTCGACCAACTCCTTCATACCATGATGTCTAGTGGTTAGTAGTTAGGCACGCATGCAGATTTCTATTTCCATACAAACAAATGAGACATGGCGCCTACATATATACACACATGAATGCCTTCACTTGTGAGTTGAAAAAGTTGCCATTTGTACCAAAATTTACACTAGCAAGATAGCGACACACACACACAAACAAATGTTTAATTTTCATACATCATCTACGAATAAATAATATTATTAATGATGATGATGGTAATAAGAAGCAGAAGAATCTCTTTCTCTCACAGATAAGCATGGAAGCGCTTTCAAATGATTAAACCAAATACTGTTTTCACGTTCACCTCTTTTTTTCAACCCCTTCCATCTTTCCCTTTCTCCTGGGACTGCGCCTTCAATCACAAACCACAAGTCTCCCTTTTAGGTTCTTCTTGCTCTTTTCTTTGCCCCAGATTCGCTTAAAAAATTGTTCTTGATGTTGTAGGAAGGCTTGTTAATGAAAGTGATACCCATTTTTCTTTGCAGTTTGGTTGGTTACTATTTAGTTTTTACTAATCCTGCCTTGGAAATTTATCATGAGAGAAGTGGAAGAGTTATGATCTGCTGAGGATTTGGCTTGTGTTTGTGAAAAACCAAGTTTGTGGGTATTAGAAGTAGAGACCTTAGACGTGTTGCTTTTTGTGCTGTGTAGGCATGAATTTGCTTCCCCCACTTTCTGGCTTTGACTTTGTCGGTGAAAAGTTTCCAGCTTTTAACTTGGTGATGCATACAGGGTAGTTTGTTTCTCAGTTAGAAAACACTTCCTCTGTAGGAATTGGACTTTCATCTTACATAACTCTTGAAATTGTGAAACTTGATCACTATGTATCATTACTGTAGGGCTTGGTTGTTGTGAATCCTTGCAAAACCAAGTTTATCTCTCATTGTATGTGGCTTTTGTTTCCTTTTAACTTTTCATGTGTAGTGGAACAACTTGTAGATTTCTATTTTCTTCAATCAGTTGCTTCCTGATGCTGCTCTGACTTGTCAATTGCTTATTACCACTGCCTGTGTTGAACTTGATTGAAATATAGATTGTGGCTTGTGAGCATGTCGACTCCTGCAAGAAAGAGGCTCATGAGGGATTTTAAAAGAGTGCAACAAGATCCTCCAGCTGGCATCAGTGGGGCTCCCCATGAGAATAATATTATGCTTTGGAATGCAGTTATATTTGGGTATGTTAAGACTCCTTATAAGGGTTTGTTCCTTTTTCTGGTTTTGGATTGTGGTCTAATTATGCTTTCCTTCTTGTTTCTCTAGACCAGACGACACCCCTTGGGATGGAGGTACATCTTCAACCTTAATTACTCACAGAAAACTTTATATTGCTTTTGATGTTCATTGGTTAAGATTAACAAACATCCCAAAATATGATTAATCCTGCTGCATATGTGACTAAAGTTTCACAGACTATGAATATCAGTTGTGATTTAGTTTGGTTACACCAGCTCAGTGAGTCTTTTATCTGATCTAATTTCCTTGCCTTTCAGGAACATTTAAGTTAACACTTCAGTTCACAGAGGAATATCCTAATAAACCACCTGTGGTGCGCTTTGTTTCTCAAATGTTTCATCCAAACAGTGAGTAGGAAACTAGAACTTGTTTTCTTGTTTCTCATTTTGAGCCAACATATACTAAACCCTGCAGTAACAATGGAGTTGAAATGACAAACACTTGAACATGGATAAGATATTTACTTAAATTAGCTTACATAATTGTTCCAAGTGGTTGTGTTTGTTCTTCACAGATATTTTATCAAGAGTTTGCCTCTTTTTTTCCCAATGGATTTCAGTGAATGTGTAAGGAAACAGGTAGTATTTGCTGTTAACTTCAGTAGTTTCCAGTTCTGATCTCCTTTCCCTTGTCAAATGTAGTTTATGCAGATGGAAGCATATGTTTGGACATTTTGCAAAATCAATGGAGTCCAATTTATGATGTAGCTGCAATACTTACCTCAATTCAGGTCACAATGATTCTCTACTTTTAAGACTATTTATGTTGAGATTGATTTGATTGTATCCATCCCCAAACCTGCACTTTCTTCTAATATCAGTGATTTATTTATGTCATTGTAATACTTGTAAGACTATTTATCTGTCAGTTTATGTCTTACAGTTATGTATTCTTTCCATTTATCTCTTTTCTTCTTGTAATCAAGAATATTAGAAGTGGAAAAGGTTCAATTGCAACTAACTATATAGTAATCACAGATTTTTTTTTTCTTCTTAACAAGAAAATTGTTGCAGTTGGCTTGCTTCTAGAAAACAAAATATAGTCCTTTTCATAAATTTCCATTCTTCACTTTTGCAAGAGAATTATTGCATTTACTTAGTGGTATCACTGTTTTCTTTATGATAAGATAAAAAAAAAGGTTTAGATATCCTCCAAAAGCCTAAGTAAACAAGAAAAACACTTGACTAATTAGTAAGTGTTATTATCACACTTAATAGTTCAACGTCGTTTAAGAACAATTTAAATACGCATTTCACCCTTCAAGATGTCAATGTTCTGATTCTAAGTTCATCGAATAACATTCTTAAGATCAATCACCGTACATTTGAGATATTGTCTGTTTTGAAGACTAAAACTCCGTCATGATTTTGTCCTTGAAAACTTTTCTATGGGATGGTAGGAACAATAAGAAGAATGTAAATGTTGTATGTGCTTTTTCTCTTAATACTTATGCCAAGTTGATTTTCTTGTTGCAGTCTTTGCTTTGTGATCCAAACCCAAACTCTCCAGCAAATTCAGAAGCTGCAAGGATGTTTAGTGAAAACAAACGTGATTACAACAGAAGAGTACGAGATATTGTTGAGCAGAGTTGGAGTGCTGATTAGTTGATTATCTTGGGGCTTCTGTTGCTGTTAAAAGGTTGTTGAAGGATCTGATTGAATGACCATTTATGTACTTAAAAGAACAGTTGTGTTTTGTAGCCCTTGGTAATGTTTTTCTTCAAACTTATATGAATGGATGTTCCACCTATGATCTCTATGTTGTGCAGAATCATGCTTTGTTCAATAATTTGTTTCATCATTATAATATAATCAAGTTTATGATGTAGGATAACACCATGATCTAAGCAAAAACCTTTACATAAATGTTTAAGGGAGCAGGGAATTGATTGTAGGAACCTAAACAAAAGTTTGATACGGACACTTCAACTATATTAGAAAATAAAAAGTTATTTTATTGATAACTCATCATACCTACCTGTAACTATCAAACTCTTTAAAATAAGAAATTTAAAATATGCTAAAAATGAATACATATTATCTGTTGTTACTATATTAAATTTTTATATATAGTTTGAATTTTTTTAATTATAAAACAATCGAGCTCCACTCATATCGTATACATATTATCTATTGTTACTCTACTTTTAATATTTTTCCATCTTACATATGCTTAACATTTCCACTCGGTTGTTCAAAATCAAATCAACTAAAATTAAAAAATTTAATAGAAAAATAAATTAAAGATATGAATAGTTTTTGGGTGTCTTTTTAAACAATGCAATTCGTTTTGAGATTAAAAACTATCTAAAACTAATAATTGTATATCGTACATTATATTTACTTTTTCTATATTTTATCATTTTCAAATCATATTTTTTTTTTAAAAGATATAATTAGATTTTATATATCAATTAAATTTTATTATACTTTATTTTATATTGGATATATTTTGTAATATTTGAGAAATCAAAATTACTTTTTATGTCCATATAGTAAATATTGTAGTTGAATTTTTAAGTTTTATTTATTTATTTTTATTTAATTTAGTACCAAATTAGTTAATTATTCCATTATGAATTATTAAATAGTTATTCAATAAATAAAATTATTTTAGTACTGAAAAAATTAAATTTACCCAAACTAAAATTTAAAGGTTAGGTTAACTTCAACCAAACTAAATCTATCTAACGTAATTGTTTTGTATTAAGAAATTTGTTTGGCTGAGTTTGGATTTGGGAAGTTGAAAGGGCGAGGTTGCTACATACATTATACGAACATCATACATTCTTTAATAGTATTTTTTTTAGGTTATTTCAAATTGATAATATGCTCTTGTTTGGCATTCAACTTTTTGGTTTAGTTTTAAATTTACATTAGAAGTTACTTGATCTCTAATTTATTTTTAAGTTTGAAGTTTAACTTAATTTTATATAATCAATTCATAAGATAATAATTCTTCTTACTTTAACTCTAATTGGTATATAATCTTTGTAGGGTGATAATATTAATTTTATATATCCTTCCAACATATTTTAAAATTTATTTAACTTATTTCATAAAAATAAATTAATTTCGTGTTGGACGTTATAATATATAAATGAGGTGCAAATTTCACTTTATAATACGGTTTGTGATGTTGAGTTAGGCTTAAAACTCATTTCTTAATATGGTATTAGAGCTAGGTTGGAGCCTATCTTAGCGAGATCTATATGAGCATTTTGTTCCACTCCGTTGTCGGGCCGTTACCACCCATTAGTTCTACTTTCATGCTCGAGATGTCTATACCTCAGCGTGAAGGGAGTGTGTTGGAAGTCTCGCATCTACTACAAATAAGACCAAATTATAATATATAAGTAGAATGCAAACTTCACCTTACAAACTGGTTTTGTGGGGTTGAGTTATGCTTAAAGCTCACTTGTTAATATTTGGAATATTACTAAGATGTTAAAATATGTGAAAAAAAAAATTATAGTTCATAAATCTTCAATTAAAAAACTTTAATAAATTTCTTCTCTAGACTAATACTAGAATTTTAAAAGGCAATTAAGATATATTTGACCCCTAACTAATATCTCTTGCATGATGTTAAAAATCATTATATTATATTTGTAAAAGTATACATTGAACGTGTGTAATATGGGTATTTTGCTTAATATGATTTGTTTCATACTCTAACATTACTTGAATTTGAACTTCAAATTACTTAATTACAAGTCGGTTTTATAGGATTGAGTTACTTATTAATATTTGGAATATTACTAAGATGTTAAAATATGTGAAAAAAAATATTCTAGTTTATAAATTTTCAATTAAAAAACTTCAATAAATTTCTTCTTAGATTAATACTAAAATTTTAAAAGGCAATTAAGATATATTTGACCCCTAACTAATATCTCTTGCATGATGTTATATATACTAATAATTTTTCAAACATCATTATATTTGTAAAGGTATACATTGAACCACGTGTAATATGGGTATTTTTGCTTAATCTGATTTGTTTCATACTTTAACATTACTTAAATTTGAACTTCAAATCACTTAATTACAAATTACTATAAATATTGTCATTCAATATTGAAATATAGTAATAGCCTTATGTCTAAATTAAGAAAACAATTCGATAATTAAAAATGATTATGGAACCATTTGTTATTGTGTCAATATTCTAAAACTTGTCTTAAAACATTTGTATTTGATTTTATTAATTTTAAATATTTTTAATCTTTTTCATGATATTTTGTAGAGATACCATCAAATAAAATAAAATTTATGTGTATAAAATAAATTATACATGATCTCACTTATTAGTAAACATTCATACAATACATGAAGGTTTTTATCCCACAAATATATAATTAAGATAAAAGCAATCAATAAGTGAAAACTTCAAACTCAGAGAAAATCACGATTATTGTCTAATGATAACAAGAGAATAAGACTATGAAAATTTTTTATAGCACATAGACCAATCTCTCATGTTCTTTGATTCCAAATACATTCAGATGTTTTATAGTAAGAATTTAACTCAAATCTCACAACACTATAAAAAGAGTATAAAAAAAGTCAAATACAAAATTAAAGTGTTTTTTACTAGGTTGTCTAAACATTATGGACCTTAAATCCATTATATAGTTATTATCACTTATTATCTATGCGACTTTTCAAGATGTATTATTTTAATTAACCTAACAATCTTTATCATGATTAAAATAAATACATCTTCCTTTTTTATCTCACTTGCCCACACCAACAATCATTCATACTCACTGTAAATAGTATACTCACTAAAATTAAACTATTCCAAAAATTTCCTTTCACTACACAAATGAAACATCCTGCATTAATATTAGTCGTTACATTATTCACTTGGAATTAAACCATTCCAAAAAATTTCTTTCACTACACACTTGTATAATCACCACACACCTTTCATTAATATTATCAATGCTCGTGCTCTTTTCAACACCTTGTGTAATCAAAATTATATCAGCACATCTTTGACTTGAGTTTGCCACAAACCAAAGTTAATCTTTCCATCAAATTTTTCTCTGTCACCTTTGACAACAAATGTCATTGCAACTTCAACAACTAAGGATGATTCTCCAACAATAAGGAATTAATTTATTCTGGTAGAAANGAAATCAAAATTACTTTTTATGTCCATATAGTAAATATTGTAGTTGAATTTTTAAGTTTTATTTATTTATTTTTATTTAATTTAGTACCAAATTAGTTAATTATTCCATTATGAATTATTAAATAGTTATTCAATAAATAAAATTATTTTAGTACTGAAAAAATTAAATTTACCCAAACTAAAATTTAAAGGTTAGGTTAACTTCAACCAAACTAAATCTATCTAACGTAATTGTTTTGTATTAAGAAATTTGTTTGGCTGAGTTTGGATTTGGGAAGTTGAAAGGGCGAGGTTGCTACATACATTATACGAACATCATACATTCTTTAATAGTATTTTTTTTAGGTTATTTCAAATTGATAATATGCTCTTGTTTGGCATTCAACTTTTTGGTTTAGTTTTAAATTTACATTAGAAGTTACTTGATCTCTAATTTATTTTTAAGTTTGAAGTTTAACTTAATTTTATATAATCAATTCATAAGATAATAATTCTTCTTACTTTAACTCTAATTGGTATATAATCTTTGTAGGGTGATAATATTAATTTTATATATCCTTCCAACATATTTTAAAATTTATTTAACTTATTTCATAAAAATAAATTAATTTCGTGTTGGACGTTATAATATATAAATGAGGTGCAAATTTCACTTTACAATACGGTTTGTGATGTTGAGTTAGGCTTAAAACTCATTTCTTAATATGGTATGAGAGCTAGGTTGGAGCCTATCTTAGCGAGATCTATATGAGCATTTTGTTCCACTCCGTTGTCGGGCCGTTACCACCCATTAGTTCTACTTTCACGCTCGAGATGTCTATACCTCAGCGTGAAGGGAGTGTGTTGGAAGTCTCGCATCGACTACAAATAAGACCAAATTATAATATATAAGTAGAATGCAAACTTCACCTTACAAACTGGTTTTGTGGGGTTGAGTTAAGCTTAAAGCTCACTTGTTAATATTTGGAATATTACTAAGATGTTAAAATATGTGAAAAAAAAAATTATAGTTCATAAATCTTCAATTAAAAAACTTTAATAAATTTCTTCTCTAGACTAATACTAGAATTTTAAAAGGCAATTAAGATATATTTGACCCCTAACTAATATCTCTTGCATGATGTTAAAAATCATTATATTATATTTGTAAAAGTATACATTGAACGTGTGTAATATGGGTATTTTGCTTAATATGATTTGTTTCATACTCTAACATTACTTGAATTTGAACTTCAAATTACTTAATTACAAGTCGGTTTTATAGGATTGAGTTACTTATTAATATTTGGAATATTACTAAGATGTTAAAATATGTGAAAAAAAATATTCTAGTTTATAAATTTTCAATTAAAAAACTTCAATAAATTTCTTCTTAGATTAATACTAAAATTTTAAAAGGCAATTAAGATATATTTGGCCCCTAACTAATATCTCTTGCATGATGTTATATATACTAATAATTTTTCAAACATCATTATATTTGTAAAGGTATACATTGAACCACGTGTAATATGGGTATTTTTGCTTAATCTGATTTGTTTCATACTTTAACATTACTTAAATTTGAACTTCAAATCACTTAATTACAAATTACTATAAATATTGTCATTCAAT